ATAGTACAGAAAAGAATATATACATACATCGTCATTCTGTTATACCATATTCTTTTTCTCAGGCATATTGAATAATACTGTTCTCAATTTTGTTTCCAATCAAATTACCGGTGAAAATATTCATCGGTGAATAAATTCACCGATGCGAATTTTGACGGCTTCCCTAAGAGCTCCGAACACAATCAGAAACAATTATTGAAAATATATTTTGATAAAAAAATGGCTCCTTGATCTAAAGGCATCTGAACCTAAATCAATATGCCAAAACTTATTTAGCTTAAATCTGACAATCAGTTACTGAGTTATTTCCATGCAGAAGTTTTCATAGAGACAAATGTTAGAAGCGGCTGTAGCTTCAACAATGCAGTCTGGTTAGCATTATATTACCAGTAAATGCAAGGTCCTTCAGTAGCAAATATTTATATGACATTCTTTAAGATACAGCAGGTTCACGATCTGAGGAAGTACCAACTGTCTTGAAAACTAACACAGAGAATCGCTTTCTTTTTGGACAATCGACGTTTCTACCAGATTTTATTTGAATGAGACAATTTCTTTGAGCCACGTTTAGGTGACAGATGAACGGCGGTCTAAGCCATCATATGTTGCTCTCTGCGTAGAAACTGCGATCGCACCAAAACTTGAAAATCATGAAAAATAGCTCTTGTAGAACACATTTATCAAAGTACAATCGTTAAACTATTATACAGTATAAGTAAAATAAATTGTCTGCATTACTTATCTCGCTTGATAATGGTTGAAGACCAAAATAGCTAGAAAATTGAAATGAATGAGAAACTCGTTTTTTTGTACAAACAAACTTTTGATAACGATAAAACTCATGGGTTTTCGATTTTTTACAAGATCGAATTTTTAAGTCCTGATTCAACATTTTACTTTATTTGTTAAGTTAGAGTCAATCACAAATAAACGCAGAGACTTCAGATTTGGACATGTTAAATATTTTGTCCTCTTCCATCAACAACTGTCACTGCAATCATCGGAGAATTAGCGATCACAATAGCAAGCAGTTAATTGATATTAACCGTTTTTGGTAAATAAAATGCCCATTCATCACCTTGCTCATCCATCAAAAATGCAAGACGATGATGGACAGTATCAAGTACCATTGTAACTTCACATGCACTACATTGTCGTTGATTGTGCAGATACAAGTCTTCTTGCATAGCATTTTGCATTAGTCGTTGTTCGTATTCAATTTTTTTTTGTACTGACCAAGTATACGGTTTGATACCGAACCGTTTATTTTCAATATTACCTGACCATAAATCTAGAACCCAGCATTCATCTGACTGTAAGGGATTTGTTGAAACAACTTTGTCATTGACTGCATGAATGATACCAACATGAGCAAATGATCCTTGTATACCCTCACAGTATTCCAACCGAAATGTAATTTTTTGATAATGACTACTAGTTGCAGAAAACGGCTGAGTTACTGTACAAATAGCTGCAAGACTCTGTCTGTGAAACTGCACAAGTGTTGATTTTTTAACTATATGGTTCCTTCCAGAAATTGCTGTAACTTGGAGAAACTGGTCACCAGCACATGTTTTATCTTGATTAGATAGAACAAAACCATGACCAGCTTTATTAATTCGGAAACGAGCATTTTTTAACTTTTGTGCTTTATCAGTTGGTATATTTCGTGTTTCTAACTCTTCCAAACGTTGAGCATGATCATTAATTATATTTTCTAAACGTGTCATATCGTCTAACTTAATTTGATTCAAATTCAATGTTGTTTGGAAATTTCGAGCTGTACGACCAATATACAAAATAATTTTATTTAGTACTTGATACTGTCCATCATCGTCTTGCATTTTTTATTAAATGAATATGTAAGATTCTTTCTTATCAATAATGTTTTTTTCTTTAAAAGTAAAAAAAAAGGATTTTTTCTTCTTTTCACTATCAGAAATAATAAGAAAGTATACTATTATAAGGAAAGGAAATGTAAAATAGGTGAAGACTGGACACATAAAGGTTAAAAAATGTTTTCGATAATTGTGCAGACTCACTATGTATCACATGCTTAAAACGTTGCTATGTTTTGTCTCATTTGTCTAGACAGCACATATGCCATTTTAATCAATATTCTTGCAAACTACACACGACCTAAGACGTAAAGCGAGTTTCTTACGAGTTTCCATATTCGTGTCAAATGAACACTCTCTCTGAGAAACTAACAAATTTAAAATATGAGCTGCCCTTGGCTTGCCTGGACAGAGATATTCAATTTTTAAGTTATGCATTATTAGGCTATAGAAACATGATAATATATGAATTAATCACATGGAATTTTTAGTGTAATCATCAGATTTCTCAGACAGCGAGCTTCCGAAAATTTGATGAATTTATTAACAATATTCAGACTTCTTCAGATACGACTTCTTCTGAAGTTTAATAGTATAGAATTAACAAAGAATAGTAACTAGTTCGTTGAAACGTGTCTATGCGTAAGATATCAACAAATTAAATGCGTTAACGCATCTCTTCATAATTTATAATATATTCCTTTTTGATTGGTATTCGTAAGTCCCAATGAAATACATATTCACAGTAACGTTCTCGCTTATTTTTCACCACGATAAGCAGTAAGAAAGATTGATCTCATCGAATCAAGGAATGAATCTAGTAAACATAGCGAAACATCTTCTCTATTTAACACAATCGGAATTTGGTTTTGAATATTCAACACCAAATGATGATGAAATTTTTGCATCACAACAACTATTCAAAATTTTAAAATCATTTAAAGATAGTTACTTTAATGAATTATATACTTATGAAAGTCTCGATTTCAACGATGAATATGATAAAACGACAGATGAAGAGGATACCACCGATGAAGAAGAATCATCTGATGAAGAAGAGAATATTACCGATTATGATGACAATCGTACTCGAACATTCGGAATCATTTTACGTTAGAAGAAATGGAAAAAATAGTGGAATGGGTTGACCAACATCCAAATTGTAAACTTGCAACTATTGCACATAGGTTTAGGAGAGTCAAGTCTATGAATTATATCCCAAGATTCAGAGAATATATTAACAAGAACGGTACAAGATTAAAAAAACTCAAAAATATCAAAGAATTTATGTGAAACGAATTTTATATTAAAAGAACAATTGAAAAAGAAGCAATTCATGATAGTGATCTGAAACTTTTTGCAATTCAAAAAGCAAGGGAACTGAATTGGGAAAATTTCAAAGCAGGTGAAACATTTATCAAGATGTTCAAGGGTGAAAATCGAATTTCATCAAGAAGATACAACAAACTGGTTACACGAGTTTCTTCTACCAGAAAAATGTGTAGTTTGAAAGGTTAAATTTTGAAATTCTAAATTATTGTCTCAATGTGTTATAACCGTATATTTTAGATGCTCACAATTGGATTGAAAGTCAAAGTTCGTTAATTTTAAAATATTCTTCGCGTCAAATTTTGAACAGTGATCATTGCTCATTTCAACAAGAATATGTTTCTCCAAGAACTCTTTCTTTTACTGGTGAAAGAACAACAGAAGTTGCCGTTAAAAAGAAGAAGAATATAACGCACTCGTATACACTGCAACCTATTACATCAGCTGATGGTCAACTATTGGAGAAATTCTTTCTCATTCTTCAAGAAAAAGAGAATGAATTTGGTAAAAGAATACAAAAAAATTTGATTGTACCGCCAAATGTTGTAGTGCAGGCTTCGAAATCTGGAAAAAGTAGCGATGAAAAACATCGCATTTTTTTAAATGAAGTTCTGCGTCCTTTGGTTGGTAGAAAATTTCTTCTTTTCCTTGATTGCTGGAAAACTCAAGCTGTTCTAAAAAAATTTAGAGCAGTATTTCCACATTAAGACAGTCAATTATTAATTTTTCCGGAAGGATCAACTGGTCATATTCAACCTCAGGATTTATCTTTATTTCGTTCATGGCGATATTTTCACAAGAAAATTGAGCATTACGTTCATATCAATCGGACAGAAATGAACTTGAACGATCGCCAATATTTTATAAACATGCATTCTATTATTCACAACCAACTATCTGCTCCACAATTCAAAAAGCTTATTAAGTCTGGATTCGCACAAGCCAGGATACTCAATGAAACAGTTAGTGAAATCAAGAAACCAGCAGATGTTTGCTTTAAATTCTATGATCTTTATTGCTCAGTTATTCGTTGTGAAGAGCGAACTCTTCTAACTTGCACTTGGTGCAAAAGACACCTTTGTTATTATCATTCGATCGAAGATCTTCGTCTACATCTATAGTACATCTCTTGAAGTATTGTTTTCTACAATCTTTTACTTTCATGCAAAATAAACTCAAAAATATGGATAGATAGTGGGTTTTATATATAATTAGAGATAAATCTCCTGTTCTGTACTATTAAACTTCAGAAGAAGTCGTATCTGAAGAAGTCTGAATATTGTTAATAAGTTCATCGCAATTTCGGAAGCTCGCTGTCTGAAAAATCTGATGATTACACTAAAAATTCCATGTGATTAATTCATATATTATCATGTTTCTATAGCCTAATAATGCATAACTTAAAAATTGAATATCTCTGTCCAGGCAAGCCAAGGGCAGCTCATATTTTAAATTTGTTAGTTTCTCAGCACTTAATAGCTTCCTAATGGCTACATAACAACCCCATCTGCTGGTAACATTTGAACGTATCAAAAAACTGAATATGAGGTTTGATAGAGAAGTTTATTGCAGATAAATATAGCTTTTAGTTTGAAATTGTGATTATTTGTTAAAAAATGTTTGCTTTACAAAACTGCTGATTTTAGAAAACTTCACAGTTGTTGCAAAAACACAAACCGTTTTTTTGAAAAATACCAAAAAAAACTGTTGCATGCCTAGTTACCTCGTGGCGATAAAAAAAAGTCTTTTTCACTCATTAACCCTTTACTCCATAGCGGTTCCAGAAGAGTCACTGATAAAAGAACCACACAAATAGAGTATTAGTCTCCCCAATACGCCGTTGGTATGGACAGATCGATCAGACATACTATCCCTTGTGCACGGTAGTTTGGTCACTCCTGTGACCATTGGGGGGAGCGACAAGAAAAGTTATTGTTTTCGAATACGTCGTTTTTGCTATATATGTCATACTTATTGACAACTACATATACAGCAAAAAAACAGGTAAGAAAAAACTTTTCATGTCTTCATGTCGCACTATTTCTAAACCGTAAATTAATGTGTATAATGTACATAGATTTATCATAATGATTATCTTTTCCAAGGACGGGGTCAATAAGAACGAGAATCGGCCGCATTTCGGATCTTCTCGAAAGATATCTAGAATGAAAGAGTATATGATTTTATGGGATTGTGATTCTGAGATCATTTTCTTGCTTGGCGCAGCACGTAGCGAGAAACATGGAAAATAAAAAAAATTCTTAACACACTGACTTTGGCTATTTAGGAAAGCTACACATTTTTCGATGCTGATTGAACGTTTAGGCCATTTAACACACCTAATAACATACTTTATGTTTGACAATGTAGCTTCCGAAGAACAGAAGTAACAAGACTTAGATCAACCGGTCGGCTTGATTTCACGCGACAATGTAACCTTTCTAAAGACGATCAAGTCCCTGATCTATGTGCTAGTGCAGCTCCTGGATTTCGTGTCAATCGTTCAGAAGTAACTACAAAAGATTCCGTTTATCACGAGAACTCTCCGATTGTCGGGTTCAAAAGAATCAAAAGCAGCACCGTGATCATAGTAGAGTTTATACCAAAAGATGCGCCTTTCGATGAGCTACAACGTATCCAAAATTAAGCCTGAAACCTCAAAATGTAAACCGTCAACAACGACAACAAGCATGAAAAAGCATATGGAAATTAATGAAAAAAATTGATATTCTGATGGCTATTATCTACGCCACTCATTGTCAATAGAGATGTCTTCTATGAGGTTTTGAGGAAAATTTTTTTTTAGAATAACTCTCAGTAAGTAGAGTTCATCTCTAACACAATCTATATTCCACGTACGAATGATTTAGTGTGAGAGGAGAATGAACAAATGATTCAGCACATATGGAATAGACTAGAAATTCAAAGAAAACTGACTGTCCAGTATTGGCTTTGGTCAGACTGCAACATAAATCTTGTTAATTTTTTCAAAAGTGTACCAATTGAAAATCCTGTTTGACTATGGTGCAAACTGTGGTGATTCTCTTATTGACAATATAGAATAACTCCAAAAGCATGCCTTTATCATATATTTTCGAAATGGTGGCTAAATCACGTCTAGTGTTTATCTACCATGAGAAGAGAGAAACTTTAGTTAGTCATGATTTTCAAATATTTGCTGATCATAAATAGAATACAACAGAGAAAAGTCATGCACCCTGGATACGATCTGATGCACGTTGAAAGCGTTCATAATGAGAAAAAGCGGTTTCGCTTTTTTCATGTTACTCCGTAGATTTACAGAAAGATCTGATGAATGTCTGGAGAGTGGTGGGAATTGTAAGCATTGTCATTGGCTTGTCCGAATATAACATTTTTATTGGATAAAAGTTGAGTTCTAATCAAGATAATCGAGAATTACGGGCAGAATTTTGAGTTTTTCGTCTCTGATTTAGAAAACTTGAATTAAAAAAAATCTCGCCATATTTTTAAAGCTGGCGTGTTGGCCGATGTGATGGTGTGCGAATTATCGGTATAGTCCTTCATCCCAAAAAGTAGATAGGTTTACAAAATGAGCGATACCCACTTCGACTTTTTCCTTAACGTTGTTGGAAAAATCTGATTTTTCCATAGAAAAAAGCGTATTGAACGAGGAAAAGGTTTTTCTCACTTAATTTTGACTGAAAAAGCGATTGGAAATAGTTTGACGACGAAACAAAGTTATTTAGAGCATTTTCTGTGTTTTGGTCATTTCCAGCTCTGGCTATTATGGGACCGTTTTTGTCATTTTTAAACAATGCATCGAGTGCAGAATTGCTTGCTCTATTAAAATATCAAAACTCTATTATGAATTTTCGTTTGGTTGCTTAAAATATTTAGGTTTTTCCACAAAAATTCCTCAGTTTTTCAAAACCTCGAATTTTTAGTAAAATATTTTTTTTGCGACTATTATTTTAACTTTTAAATATCAAATTTTTTTTTGTATGCTCTTTCGAATGAAATGTTTCTCGGAAACGTCGAACGAAAACTGACGGTTTTATACATAAAAAGCTGAAATTGGTCAATTTTCGGGTTTTTTAGGCTTAGGCTTTGGGAAAACTTGATTTTCTGCAGAGCAAAAGGACTTATAAGGTTTTAAAAAGTTTCGTCACCCCAGTTTTTCATGCCGAATCTAATGATGTAACTCTTAATGAAATCTATTTTTCGCAATCGACAGGCCTGCTTAAGGGTACTCGATTCTCTCATGGAACGTCTCTTAAATGCTTTAAGCCGTAAACAGGCTGTTAACAGACCGTTTTTCAGTACTTTATGCTAGAGTGATTTTAAAATGATTTTTCAATTCATGTTTCATGACACATAGAGTACTTCGGGATAATTAGAGACACTTTTTGAAATTTTCGTTGTGTTTTTGCTATTTCTTGGCCGTTTTTGACGGAAAAACTTGTTATTGAACAGGGGGGTAGACCGAACATTTTTTCACATACACACTCAAAAATCTTTTGAGAATCTCTGATCAGTTTTGAACCAGATTCAAAATGCAAAGAGCTCTATCAAAGTGTGTGACACTTCACTTGTACGCTTGGGGTAAATAGAGACACTCTATTAAAATACTTGGAGTTTTAATGTATAATTGCTGGTTAATTAAGCTTAGGAGATAATTAGTTCAATAATACCTCATTTTGTAGCCCGGACCTTCCTCTCTCTATCATAAAGTTTTGAGCTCATTATCATTTAAACTCATTAAACTAATTAGCATATAATGAACAGAACTAGAAATTCTCTTTTTTC